TATTCGACTCACATTATTTTCTCTTTATTACTTTTTCCTCAGTACTTTTCCCTATGAATCTGCTCCAGCACTTTTCTCTTAGGTAAATTCCCTCAGCTTAGCTAGAAGTACGTTTTCTTTCCAACCGGTAGTGCGTTGCGCACCCAGCATTTGTTATCTTTCCCTTAGATGCGAGGCCGGATCTGCAGTAATTTGGAATGAAACCTCACTCCACTCTTCTTTTCAGAAGTTGATATATTTAAAAATGGAAGTTGGAACCAAGCAGCTGATCGAGAGTGTGTCGTAGGTCGTGATTTGACGGTCTCTTCTAGAACTTCTTCGGAAGACGTCATATAAAGGGACAACCGTGGAAGCACCACATTGCTGAGGTCTGCAAATTTGTCCTCAGTGCTACAAGGTAAATTATTACCTCGGAAGTCGAGATACTTGTGTCAATAGAAACTGAGTGTTGGATTGACTAGAAGGGTTTTATTGAAATTGCTGGGTTCCCATTTAGCCCAGGGCTAAACCAATGTTGGGATAGGGAATTACTAAAGTGTGGGAACTGTTCTTCCTAAAATGAAATCCCTTCTTAGTGATGTAACCTTTACCTCAGTCAAATAAGCTCTACACTAATTCCTAAAGCCACAACAATCGTTTCAATTGTTTAAAAACACCTATGTTTTTATGTAACTGGATACCAAATCTTTTATTATGAATCAATCTCGAATGTTAACGGTTTTTAGTTAAGTTTACTCCAAAGTATAACTTATGTTTGATCCTCATTGAAATCTAAACCTATCCAATTATGTGCAAAGAGATAGCTTAATTGCAAACAGCTTATTATTTTTTATCCTTATACAATTGAGAAAGGCAACACAACTGATTTAATTAAATCGACTTACTTCAATAAAAAATGTATGATACATTTTAAATGCATCCTTACGTATTACAGTAATAAATCAGCTACTTATTTGGGATATAGGGTGTTTTTACTACCGGTACTAAGAACACGGTAAGTGTAAAATCAAACTACCCTAACTTGTAGTAAAAATTGTAAACTAAGCAAGCTACTAAAGTGAAACAGCGTGCCTTGAATAGTTAAATCTCGCGTTATAATTTTAAAAGCCCACAACAAAACTTCCTTTACGAGTTTTGGTGCAATGTCAGTGGTTAAAATTTGTAATATAGCATACTTATAAGTTTAGGTTTTAGTTTATACTACATTTTGTATCTTTATTTGATCAAAATATATTGTAGTGGGGCTGACAAACACGCCTAAATAAATCCAAGATGAGTTTTATCCTCACCATGTATACAATTTTGTAATAGGTAGATAGCTTATCAAAACAACTGTTTTCCCAGTAAATCATAAAACGTTGTACATGTGATTGTCCTATCACTTGTCAATATGTGCTGCCGATACCCCTGAAGCGTATTTTAGAACATGGATCAAATCCATTTAAAACTGTTTCAGTATTTTCTTTAAAATTTAATTTAGTTTAATGTTTCTAGATTATCTAGTTTATTGTTTATGTATCACCAGTTTTTAAATAGTCATCGGAGGTATTTACTGTCCTCTAATATTAAAATAAACATTTTCTTGAAACTTAACAGCTCTACCCTTGTAAATGCTGAAAAAAACTACTTATCTAAGGAACTAAGAGTTATGGAAGAAATTCTGCCGTCAAGAGCACAGCTGAAATAAATGTTCTTCTATACAAAAAAATGTTAGGCAAAGTATTGTTTCGTGTTTCGAGGATAGCAGTTTTTTTCTCAAAACTGAGCGATAGTGAAGTTTTACATAATTGCAATACCATATTATTATTGGAATACATCAAAGTGTAAGCACTCGTCCAATATTTGTAATGATGTTATCTTAACAATACGAACATGTACCATTGGTTAAATATGAACCAGCTGACAGTAAAACCATGAGTATATACAGGTACAGCTAGAGAGATAGTATATAAAACAAAAAACTAAATAAATAACAAATTTATCAAAATAAACAATAATCCGGATAAGCTCCGATGTTTGAAACTAAACTGAAAATTCACCAATGTTGTACATGTCAGGGTATAACGGATGGGAAGTTTGATCAACGTTATAATAACACTGACATCGACACAATGCGTGCAATCATTTTGTTTGTTGGAACACTCCGTTGCGTTTTTACGTTAGTATAGGTTGGTAAAATATTATTCGTCCTCCAAATTCTCGATACTTCATAAAAAATAGAGTTCGTTCTACTCAAATATTCCTATTAAATAATTTAACTTGCATTTTATTCGACGACATTCACTAAGTGAAACCATTGACTATAAAAGGTGTTTAATTATAAGTAAAAAAGGAAAGTAGGTAATCCATATACCAGTATAACGCGTGACGTATTTATTATTTAAAACTGGTGAGGAGTAATTTTTAACGGGTAGGTGACTGCATATCTATGACGTCATTAAATGGATGTAAAACGAGAACACGTCCTGATCTTGGTCTCAACACTGAGCTCTTATATGTTGAAGAGTAATTCAATTATTTTACTGGTTAACAATCATTGATTACATTTTTTTAATTACTTATACCTTTTTGCATCTTAGTGTGTAGTATACGTGTGATATGGATACACATTTCCTACCAGAGGATGTTCATTTAGACCTAAACTGGAATCAAATACAATACGTTATTGGAAGAACGAACTTTAGCCACAGACAATAATAGCTTTTAATTAATCAGTTCGCTTTTTTGGGCACGTAATACGTGTACGCTTGAAAATAAGGTGGAAACACTTAAAGATACTACGGCTACGATCAGCTGTTGCAGTGTTTCCCACTTTGTTCAAGGCTTAGATTTAACCTTACCTAAAACGTATTGTTTAGTGTTTGAAAGACTAATTATTTCTATTACATTATAATTTTCTTAATAATATCTCTTTTAATACCATGTGTAACACGAGTGCAAATAGTCTTTGCTGCACACGAGATACTTTCCGCACGAGCCGCAGGCAAGTAAACATTTCTCTCGTGTGCAGCAAATTTTCCACGTCACACACTAGTCACACAAATAACTATTTCTGTTATTTTGCAAGTTATTAGATTCTTTTTTAGTCGACAGCTTCAAATGAAAAAAACTTTCAGATAAAAAATTTACCTTTATAACCTTATTTTAGGAAAAAATTCCTTTTTAATAATTGTTAATATTTGTAGATGCTACGTCGCTTTAACGGGAAAAAATAACAAACGGGAAAAAATAACAAAGAGACTGGTTCAAGTTCTGCGTGTAGTAAAATCCTTTGATAAATATCTTTTTATCCCAGGATTATAGGGTCTGTGGCATTAAACTCAGAGAATTTTGGTGGAGTTTTTAGTTGCAGAGTAAGAATACAACGTATTTTATGGCAATTTTCTACAGTGTTTTTGTGATTGTGCTTAAAAGACAAACTATTTTGTAGTTGCATACAGATTTTTGTTTAGTTTTGAAATACAATCATACAGCAACGTTAAAGCAACTATTAAAATGGGCCAAAAAATTAGCTAAAGATTATTAAATAATTAAAAAAATAAATAAATAAAAATAGTTTTAACGTGGCGATCCTCATAAAATTAAGTTTAGGAATGAATCTTAACAAGATAAGTGCATTAAATTTTTAATGCATATGCATTTACAGATTTATCATCAGAAGTTACAAACTGAATGTAGTTTATCATTGTGTCCAAAACAAATATTTTTTAGGAGCAACCACCTAGCTAATAAATATTTGGCAGCATCCCAGCTTGGCCCATCCATCATAAATACTGTCAAATGTGGCCAGACGATGTGTATAATAGAAATCCACAATATAAATAATTGAATAAATTATAGGCTTATGTCAAAATAGTATTCATATAAATTGTGATACAAATTGAACTTTAGTTTGCTCTTTAAAATAGCAAAATATTATTTTAGTAATACTGATATTGTAGCAAAGATCTTTAACAATAATAATAAGAATACAATTTTATCCGTTTTTCACATTCACAGAGTTAATGTGGTCTCTTATCTGTAATATTGTTTAAACCTAATTTACTACTGTCATAATTTAACTAAAACAATTTGATGCTCGAGTGACTATCAAGGTTTTATACTGAAACTGTGAATAATGAATAATGAATAATAAATAATGAATAATGCATAATGAATGATGAATGATGAATGATGAATGATGAATGATGAATGATGAATGATGAATGATGAATGATGAATGATGAATGATGAATGATGAATGATGAATGATGAATGATGAATGATGAATGATGAATGATGAATGATGAATGATGAATGATGAATGATGAATGATGAATGATGAATGATGAATGATGAATGATGAATGATGAATGATGAATGATGAATGATGAATGATGAATGATGAATGATGAATGATGAATGATGAATGATGAATGATGAATGATGAATGATGAATGATGAATGATGAATGATGAATGATGAATGATGAATGATGAATGATGAATGATGAATGATGAATGATGAATGATGAATGATGAATGATGAATGATGAATGATGAATGATGAATGATGAATGATGAATGATGAATGATGAATGATGAATGATGAATGATGAATGATGAATGATGAATGATGAATGATGAATGATGAATGATGAATGATGAATGATGAATGATGCATGATGAATGATGCATGATGAATGATGAATGATGAATGATGAATGATGAATGATGAATGATGAATGATGAATGATGAATGATGAATAGTGAATAGTGAATAGTGAATAGTGAATAGTGAATAGTGAATAGTGAATAGTGAATAGTGAATAGTGAATAGTGAATAGTGAATAGTGAATAGTGAATAGTGAATAGTGAATAATGAATAATGAATAATGAATAATGAATAATGAATAATGATGAATGAATAATGAATACTGAATAATGAATAATGGTGACGAGTGATAAGTGATTAAGTGATGCGTAATGGGTGATGGGTGATGGGTGATGGGTGATGGGTGATTAAGTGATGAGTGATGGGTGACGGGTGACGGTTGATGGGTGTTGAATGGTGGTTGATAATGAATAATGAATAATGGTGACGAGTGATAAGTGATTAAGTGATGCGTAATGGGTGATGGGTGATGGGTGATGGGTGATTAAGTGATGAGTGATGGGTGACGGGTGACGGTTGATGGGTGTTGAATGGTGGTTGATGGCTGATGGGTTTTGGGTGATGAGTAATGGGTGATGAGTGATGGGTATTAAGTAATGAGTAATTAGTAACAAGTAATGAGTAATGGGTGATGGGTGACGGGTGACAAATAATGGGTTTTGGGTGATGGGAGATGGGTGATGGGTGATAGGTGTAGGGTGATGGGTGACGGATAACCGGTGATGGTTGATGGGTGATGGGTTTTGGGTGATAAGTGATGGGCTATGAGTGGTGGGTGATGTTGTTGTTATATATCGATGGTGATGCGTGACGGGTGACGGGTGACAGTTGACGGGTGACGGGTGACGGGTGACGGGTGATGGGTGACGGGTGACAGGTGATGGGAGACGGAACTGTTGATGAACAATTAGTAATGAGTAATGAGAAATGAGAAATGAACAATGAGTAATGAGTAATGAGCAATGAGTAATGAGTTATTAGTAATGAGTAATGAGTAATGATAACAAGTAATGGGTAATGGGTGATGGTTGACGGGTGACAGTTGACGGGTGACGGGTGATGGGTGACGGGTGACAGGTGATGGGAGACGGAACTGTTGATGAACAATTAGTAATGAGTAATGAGAAATGAGAAATGAACAATGAGTAATGAGTAATGAGCAATGAGTAATGAGTTATTAGTAATGAGTAATGAGTAATGAGTAATGATTAATGAGTAATGAGGAATGAGTAATGAGTAATGAGTAATGAGTAATGAGTAATGGGTAATGGGTAATGAGTAATGAGTAATGAGTAATGGGTAATGGGTAATGAGTAATGAGTAATGAGTAATGAGTAATGAGTAATGATTAATGATTAATGAGTAATGAGTAATGAGTAATGAGTTATGAGTTATGAGTATTAAGTAATGAGTAATTAGTAACAAGTAATGAGTAATGCTTAACCATCTGAGGCCTATGCATTTTATGCTCTAGGCTTACCGTTTTTGGTGTTTTTGCACTCTTTAATTTTAAAAATTATAAATTTTATGTTTATTTGTTTGTTTGTTTGTTTGAAGTTCAATCACGCATTAACTACTGGCATTACCGGTTAACGCTAGGAATGAGAGTGAAGGTGTCAAAGAGTTCATTACTCCATCGAAAGACAGGATAGTTCAAACAAGTGGACTTGTGTACAAAAAAATACCTTTCTCCAGATGATAAAATACTTTAGATAAAATGCTTGAATTCAAGTAAAAATTTTATTTTTCCTTCTTTGTAGAACAGATTTTTCCTGCAAGGCGTCTTTGCCAGTTTGGACCAAACTCCTTATAATTCTCTCTTGTTAATCGAATTAAAATACTTTCATACGTGCACAAAGTAAGATAACTGACACAAGTCACCACACACTCACACACTCACGGCATTACACTCGTTACCAGAAAAAAAATCAAATATATGCTCATTTATTACTACTATTAAACTTAGAAAAAAGCGGTAACAAAATGGCGATGCTTACTCACTTGTAGAATTTCCAAAGCATCGTTCCGGTCCTCTTCGCCTATTCTCTGCGTCTTCCTCATGGCTTTCTTGATAATAAACTGCTCTTGACATTATGTGCACTAATATTATGTAATATGACTAATACCATTCATTATTTACATATCGAAACAAATCTCTTCTGGTTTATAACATTGGACACCTAATGTGTCTGGAGGAGGATTGAAATTGGCTAAACCCCGAGAATAAGGAAGATTTTCACGGGATATTGGACTGGCCAATAAGTGTCAGACTTAAGCTAAGGGTGGTGGTGGAAACAAGAGGCTTTGGTTTATCATTTAGGTTATCGTCCATTAATAAAAAAAGAATCCCTTACTCACTTTCACTATAAAAAAACAGCAAAAATGGCACTTAAACTGTAAACTCAGTTAGACCTTTTACCATCTCCACTTTTAACAACAAAACCAAGAAACCTGAAAACGTCAAATAAAAAAGACCAATACAAATCCTTCTCCTATGTCTCGATTGCACACGACTCCGCACTATGTGCGTTAGGTACCCTAGTAATAGATAATTTAAATAATTTAAAATAAATAATGTATAGTAAATAAAATCCAATGTAATTTAGAATACAATGTTGCTAACATGTTTATATTTCTGAATAATTACTAAGTTACTACGGTAGTTTCACATAGTGATTTGCCTTTTGCTACACTCACCGAGCTCAGTTTTAGCACATTGAACTCACCATTGAAAATGAATTCTATAATAAAACTAACACCAAATGACATTGTTTCCTTTGAATATTTTGAATGTCTCATCATCTAATGACCTAAAAGTCTTTTTGGAATTTTAATTAAAATGTAGATGTGATAAATTTAATTATGTTAACGAAATTATGTAGCCAGAAAAAACTGTATCATCATTTTTTTAAGGCAATTTTTTTTATATCGGAAGTTAAGTTTATTAAAATGAGGTTTAGCTATTAGGTTTAATATATCTAGTCCTATCTTGATGCTTACATTCAGCAAAATAAATTGTATAGCGTCGATTGTATGTTACTATACTATGTCTAAAAAAAATAGTTATCCCTATTTAATCTTTACTGTCTAATTTAAAATCAGGATTTCCTCTACCATGTTGGTGGGATACTGCATTATCTCTTGATTGCTTCTGAGATTATTGGATGACGAGATTCAAGGTTTGAGCTGACGACAGCTCACAGGATTAGTTCGTCTATTAGTTCTGTTCTTCGATCAGTTTGTTTATCAGTTCTTCTTATAACTGTACTGTAACTGTTTGAGCTGACGACAGCTCACAGGATTAGTTCGTCTATTAATTCTGTTCTTCGATCAGTTTGTTTATCAGTTCTTCTTATAACTGTACTGTAACTTCTTATAAGGTTTGAGCTGACGACAGCTCACAGGATTAGTTCGTCTATTAGTTCTGTTCTTCGATCAGTTTGTTTATCAGTTCTTCTTATAACTGTACTGTAACTTCTTATAAGGTTTGAGCTGATGACAGCTCACAGGATTAGTTTGTCTATTAGTTCTGTTCTTCGATCAGTTTGTTTATCAGTTCTTCTTATAACTGTACTGTAACTTCTTATAAGGTTTGAGCTGATGACAGCTCACAGGATTAGTTCGTCTATTAGTTCTGTTCTTCGATCAGTTTGTTTATCAGTTCTTCTTATAACTGTACTGTAACTTCTTATAAGGTTTGAGCTGATGACAGCTCACAGGATTAGTTTGTCTATTAGTTCTGTTCTTCGATCAGTTTGTTTATCAGTTCTTCTTATAACTGTACTGTAACTTCTTATAAGGTTTGAGCTGATGACAGCTCACAGGATTAGTTCGTCTATTAGTTCTGTTCTTCGATCAGTTTGTTTATCAGTTCATCTTATAACTGTACTGTAACTTCTTATAAGGTTTGAGCTGACGACAGCTCACAGGATTAGTTCGTCTATTAGTTCTGTTCTTCGATCAGTTTGTTTATCAGTTCTTCTTATAACTGTGCTGTAACTTCTTATAAGGTTTGAGCTGATGACAGCTCACAGGATTAGTTCGTCTATTAGTTCTGTTCTTCGATCAGTTTGTTTATCAGTTCTTCTTATAAAATTGTATATTGGTCAACAATTTAACTATATTTTCATTTATTGATGATGGTATTAATTTTATCTATTAAAAATATTTACACCAGTTGATTCATTTAAAAGCTGGGATTTCAATAAGATTTCATCTCTTTACAAGTTTAATAGTTAGGCTTCCACCTTATCCGAAATATTTGATGATTTTACTTTCATTAAAACCTCCTTTAAAAGTAAATACATTGATTGGGTCTGTTAATTGCCAAGATAAAAGAACAATAATTTGTCAGATCATAACATTTATATTTTCCCCTTTAATTATCAGTCCCACCAACACCAAACCGTTTCCGAAATGGCAACTAAAAATAACAATGTAAGGTAATGTATATCATTAACCTACAAAGATTCAAATCCATTGTCTGAAAATACATATCTACGTTTGTGCACATGAAAATCTGTTTGTAACCCAATTCACCTTCTCGCTTGCTGTAAACAATTCTGTATATATGGGTTAAGTTCCCCTTAATGGGAATTCCCCTTAACAACTTTACTGTTAAGGGGAACATTCATTATTATCGATGATTCTTTTCGATATATCGATTTTTTTATCCTTTACAATCCATATCTTATCTGTTTTAATATCTTCAAACGCATTTAAATTACTGACAGACGGACCTACAGACATAGCAAATATGTCTAAGTTATACTTGGAGTTATATCTCGTATTAGCGAATAGGATTAAGAACTAATCTTGTTGAGGCAAAAATAATAGCCTATATATTGGATTAAGAATTTAAACTTTTCTAAACTAAGCTAACATAACTAACAAAACTTGCTGTAGGCTAAGTTGCCGTTTCGAAATTCTGTTTAATAACAGAAAAGGCATATGGGGAATAGGCTATCAAACAGAATTTCGAAATGTTACAGCAAGTTTGGTTGGTTAGGTTAGTTTAGAACAGTTTCATTTCAATATATATATTATTTATTGTTTGATAGAAAAGAATTTATTTCGTAAAATAAATACGTCTGCCTTAAAAAATAAGGTTGCCAATGACATATAAAAAAATATACACTTAAAATATTGAACGATTATTAACAGCTGACTAATAATAACTTATACTTTGTTATTAATTATATTAGTATATAAATTATATATAATTATATTAATATATTAATAATACTGAAGAATATTTATTTATTGTAGTTGTCAGCTGATCAGTTTCAATTTGTAAATATCAATATATCGAATAAAAAAATATCGATATATCGAAAAGAAATCATCGATATTAATGAATATTCCCTTTAACAGGAAAATACCTATAAATGTTATGATCACATTCACACATTTGCTTATTTAATTATAACTGCCTGTTTAACCAGGAGGATGTAAAATACCTTTGCAGTATTACACATTTGAAACACAGACATTACTTGGAAACTTGTAAAGCAACTCGTAAAAGTGTAGTAAACCCTTTGAATGACACGAACACTTTTACAACTCAGGTATTGTTGTTTCGCTCTTGTAAATTGAAAGGTTTACGATTAATTTCACCACGGGACAGAGTAATTTGATTTTATGCCACCAGAAAATACAACTGCAATGAATCCTAATGAAAAAAAGAGATTTATGAAACCTTGCTTTACTGGTGATAGTGGTTTAAATACCCTATTCTTGCAATCCGATTGTTGTCTTCACAACTAGTTTCGACCTGCTAGGAGGTCATCATCAGGTGTGTACTACAAGGATGATATTACTTCATATGAAGGTCGTCAGTAACATTTTTTTACATTTACACAAACACACGACGAATAAACACATAGTGCGCACAGATATACGGCCGATAAAATGTAACATCGAACTCGACAAGCGGGCCCGTGTTGAAAATTCGGAAGTTGCGTCTAGACTCTACTAAGAACTCAGTACATACAGAGTTTTATGTCCCATGTTGGGATTGACGAACATGCTTTAAAAGGGTCATAAACGCAACTTAATACCGCTCGAAAATGTAAGTGGAACAAACCAGCTGAAATGTATCGAATCTTTGCAATATTACTTGACATTTTAAAGAATCAGAGACCAGTGAGACGCACTTCCAAAAAAAAAAAAAAAAAAAAAAAAAAACAATCAATAAAAACTATTCTATTGCAACGTATCTTACCTTGAATAACTTAGCAATTAGTTTGAACATACCTAAAATCCCTAATAAAGATTTTGTCAGGATATTAATTTATTATAATATTATGGGTCAATTCCCACTGCATTTTAAACGAATTCTGGTGGTTCACACAAAAATTAATTACATACAAAATTACTTAATATTCTGTTAATCGGCCATGTTCTAGTGTTAAGAAGTGATTTCAATGATAATTTTACAAGATGAGCTCTCGAAGTATTTAATGTGATCTCTAAGACGTAAACATAAATTACCACATATTTCGTAGATATTTTGTAAATGGTGCCCACATAAACTTTAACTCACTTCCTTATTGATATTTGAATATTCATGCATTGCTGTCTCTGGTTTGCATAATCCGTCTCGTCTCAACATTGTCCCATGTCGTAGCACTAAGCAAGACACAAATCAGCCTCAAACTGTAATACATATTCAAATCGAGGTGTTAGTGGAAACCACTCACAGTTTGTAGTACAGATGTAAAAAATATCAAAATAATTAAATATTACACTAATTATTGCAAAATTGTAACTAAAATGCATGTCAAACCGAGTAAATTTTAGCCTCTAATAATAGGAAAAACTGTCACAGCATAATGACGTAAGAATATTACTTAATTTACATTACTTTGAAATTTATATGGTTTTGCTAAAGTTTAATCTTTCTTACATTTTCACACTTTATTTTACCTCCTTTTTTATCCCAAAATATTTGTCAACGGGTGCTAACTAGTAAATAGCTCTATCATAACGTATTAATAAAAAGTCATAAAGGCTCATTTAGCTTCCAAACTATGCAGGGTAGGGCATATTCTAAAAAAATT